CACTTCGGTGAAGCACTTCACCTCCGTGGCTATCGGGGGGAAGCATCGGTTGGTGCAAGAGGGGCTCCCCGCTCCTGATCTTCGATCTGGTCCCGTCTCGAGTGTCTATGTGGATAACCTTGCCGCAGTCGGCCTCTCGTGCTCCGAGGTTTCGTCAGATTACGCTGCGATCAAGAGGGAGCTTGAGAGTGTGGGGTTCACGTTGCACGAGGAGGGCGGGGACGCCCTGTTGGTCGAGAATGTGGGCATCGTGATAGACAAGAGCAGGTGCAGTATTCGTCACAAGCCTGAGAGGGCGTGGCGGTTGTATCTTGGGATTAAGTATATTCTGAAGTTGCGTCGGGTGACCGGAGAGGCAGTTCGTGTTTCGCTGGGTCATTGCATCCACTACCTTGTCCTCCTGGGGCCGGCGATGTCTGCCTTTGCCCACGCCTATCGGTTTGTGAACGACAGCCTAGGACGTACGTGTGAGCTACCTGGCCAGGTGAAGCGTGAGTTCCGCGTGATGGCGGGGCTCGTTTTCCTGGCCGAGGCACGGCTGTCTGTTCCGCCTTCGGATCGAGCCTACTGTGGAGACGCGTCAGGGAAGGGATACGCCGTCATGGACACCCCCATGGGCCCCGCGGAGTTCCGAAAGCTTACTAGGTGGAAGGAGCGTCGGCGGTTCGTGGAGGTAGAGGGGGCTCGCGGGGACACCTTGAGGACCTCTGGGAGCCTGCCGCCCCCGAACCCTGGCTGGTCTGCTGATCTTGAGGTGCCTGACTCATCATATTCACGGTGGCTTCTGGAGTCTGCTGGGAGACCCAACCCGTCTTCGGGCGTTCTGGAGTCGGGTGGTTTTCGTTCTGGAGTCTGTAGACTACGTGGTAAGGAGCGTAGACAGCTAGAGCAGAAGGGGATAGTTGGCATGGTCCCGATCCTTCCCGAGGACGTTGTCGAGCCTGGTCGGTGGCGTACCTTATTCGAGGGGAGGTGGAAGAGGGACGAGGCCATCCATATGAAGGAGGGGATGGTGATTCTGATGGCGCTCCGCAGAGAGTCGTATACTCGTTCAGGTCATGGACGACGACTCCTCGTGCTGTCCGATAACCTCTCCTCACTGTGCTGTCTCGAGAAAGGCCGAGCTAAAGACTTCGGCCTGCTTGCCTTGGCCCGCAGGTGCGCCGCCTACTCGATTGGATGTGGCATCGACCTGAGGCTCCGATACATCGAATCCGAACGAAATCCCGCAGGCGAGGGATCGAGACGTTTCGACGACGAAACACATCATGTTGCCAGAACCTCTCGGGGCCCTCCGCGCTGCTCGGCCTCGTCAGCTCTCTCTCGTCGGCTTCGGGGCGATAGGCCCGATGCCCGACGCCCTCTCCGACCGCGGGGGGCAATGCTACTTGCAGGAGATTCACTGGGTCTGAAAATGAGTACCTCTCGGCCTGCATCGTCCCGTCAGCCAGGCAGGGTGGTGAGAGCTCAGCAGTCTTTGTCTCGTCCGCCGCCTTCGCCACGTTCTTCGAGACGCTTCGCGCCAGCCTTCTTGGAGCTCTACTCTGGCTGTGGGGCTCTGACTTCTGGGATGGCCGAGGTGGGCCTCAGGGTGTCCGTGCCGTTCGATATCGCCGAGGGTCCGGAGTTCAATCTCGAGAAGCGGGGGGTCCAGGACGTCGTGATCAGGTGGCTCAACGAGGGCCGCATCTGGTACTTACATCTTGGGACGCCGTGTACCCCGTGGAGTATTGCGAGGAAGTCTCGACCTGCAAAGTCGTCGGTGCGGGTGTCTCGGGAGCACGTTCGGTTCGCTGCAAGGGTGGTCGAGCCTTGCACGGATCTGAAGGTATACTTCTCCCTCGAGAACCCCAAGACCTCATCCCTGTTTAGGCAGCCCGAGATCCTGAAGGCCTTGGAATACGCGGGCGCGTTCTTTGTCGAGTATGACTGTTGTCGATACGGTTGTTCATATAAGAAGCCGACCCTACTAGCGACTAATTGTGATTCCTTGAACAGCCTGAGTCTGAGGTGTGAATGTCGGGGGCCTCGCGAGATCCTTCGGGGGAAAGTACGACTATCGGCTCAAGACGGACATCATCGTTGGAGGTGGAAGACCAGTCTTGCAGCCTCGTACTCTCCCCAGTTGTGCCGATCGTGGGCGTGGGCCGCTCGCTGTGCCGCCCCGAGGGGAGCAGAGCGCGCTCCTGGTGAGGCCCGGCTGTCGGATGCCTGGCAAGAGGAGCTGCGTCAAGACGCTGGGGCCGGTCTCCAACGGCCGCGGCTCGAGCTCAGCCATCTCCCGCGTCGCTGGACCTCGCCCTGGGCCGGGGCGACAGACGCCTGGGGCACGGGTCCAACTTGCCGCTGCGCGTGCGCAACGTCTCGGAGCGGAAGGAGGACCAGAGTTCCTGAGGGCGCACACGATCCGGTCGGCAGGGGCCCGCCAGGCCTACACGGACGCTAATAACAAGTTCGTCGCCTTCGCCCGCCGCAGTGGTCTGCCGCTGGACACCGCTGATCATGTCGACGAGGCGCTGGAGAGGTTCATGGAGCTGCTGTTCCTGAGCGGGGAGCCGCAGTCAGTCGCCCGCTCCGCCCTGTATGGCGTTGCGTGGTGCCATCCTGAGATGCCTCACAAAGATCGGAGGCCCTACATCAGGAGCCGTGCTGCGCTCGCTGGATGGCGGAACCTTGAGCCAGGCGGGACGCGCGATCCAGCTCCTCTCGATATCGCGTGGTGGATCGCTGACGACATGCTCCAGCATGGTCTGGCGCTTGCCGCCTTTTTAGTCTTCCTGTGCTTTGACTGTTATCTGCGGCCTGGCGCAGGATGCACCCTGCGCCGTCCTCACGTCATGCCACGGCCTGCTGCAGTTCACGAGGTTTATGATCGCTGGTGCCTCCGACTGTCCCCGGCCGAATCAGGCCAACCCTCGAAGACCGGCGCCTACGATGACAGCATCGCGGTCGGCGAGGTCGCTGGACGGGACTGGATCGTTTGAGTTTTGGCGATCATCTTCCCTCACGTCCAGTGTGATCATTTCATCTTCCCTTTCGGGTTTCGAGAGTTCGAGAAATGTTTCAAGGATTCGGTTGTACGGCTCGGCATCTCGCATCTCCGTCTGTCACCCCACTGCCTACGCCACGGTGGTCCTTCGACGGATGTATACACCAAGGCTTACACCCTTGAGGAAGTGCGTCGCCGAGGAAAATGGGCCGACCATCGCAGTGTGTCTAGATACGAAAAACACGCCCGTTTGCACGCCGTGTTTCAGAAGTTGCAGCCAGGCGATCAGCGCCTTGCCTCGACCGCCGCTGCCACTCTGTCCAGTCGCCTGCTCGCGGCCCTCCGTCAACCAGCCCTTTGGTCTAATGCAAGGTATATTGCAGCTGTTACGTGAAGTGACTGTTTCGGTCGCGCCTGCAGCGATCGTGGCTCTGGCAAGCGCGCTCCGAGCTTGTGTATTTCAGATCAAAGCGTGTGCTGGCCGCGCACGGTCCCGAGAAAAAAGAGAGGCTCTGGAGGTCCTTCAGGCTCTCGGGTAGTCTCAGACTGTGGGTCAGTATGTAGCCTCCTTGGCCACGCAGCTTAGTGAATGTAAAGATTGCAGCAATCACTGATGTCTCTTTGCGGCATGAGTCGTGGCCAGGTCCCTCCGATCCATCGCCCAATGTGCTCAAGTTGTTTCTGCTCCTCCTGCGTCCCCTCCACCTCCCTCCTGCTGTGTTCCACTAAACCCAGCTTACCTTCACTTACTTGGCAACTGTTACGTGAAGTGACTGTTTCGGTCGCGCCTGCAGCGATCGCGGCTCTGGCAAGCGCGCTCCGAGCTTGTGTATTTCAGATCAAAGCGTGTGCTGGCCGCGCACGGTCCCGAGAAAAAAAGAGAGGCTCTGGAGGTCCTTCAGGCTCTCGGGTAGTCTCAGACTGTGGGTCAGTATGTAGCCTCCTTGGCCACGCAGTTTAGTGAATGTAAATATACATATATATATATATATATATATATATATATATATACATACACATACATGTATTTATGCATATATAGATGTAAATGTGTATACATGTATGTATTCATATGGGTGAGTGTATGTTGCACCACACAGCTGGCACCTATGTATTACAGCACACAACTTGCACCACCTAGATTGCACCACGTAGCTTGCAACGACAATGCTGATCCACGTGAGTTGCACCACAGATGATGCGCCACACATGCATCCAGGGCGCAACGACGCACAGTTTGGGGCCCACACTAGCAAACTTGTTTTGTTACGCTCGGGTCGCATTTGTTTTTTCTCTTTCTCTCTCTCTGGGCCAAGATCCATCATCAGCGCTCCGATCGGGCGCCGGATTCCACCTCCCGTCCGATCGGCGATCGGCTGCCGACCGTTTTTCGGGTGCCTTTAGGCGGGTGGCGTAATGGAGTGGCCTTCGAATAAGGTGTCCTGGAAGCCTCTGGGCTGAAGTCGTTCACGCCCCTCTACACGATAGAAATTTAAAAATAGTCAAAAAATAGTCTGGGGACGATGATTTGACTATTTTTGGTAATCCTGGTGTATGTTCGAATGTTTTCAATTTGTCGTCCAAGATCCGCTTGCAGGGGAACGTGCCCGAACTAACTCTGGGCCTCTCTGGGAAGCCCCATGCTTTCGCAGAAGCCCCGCCCCCCTCTCAGACGCCCCCCCCCACCCCGCTCCGCCCCTCTCGCGTGGGCGCCGCCAGGATATCCGCCGACCGCGGTCCCGACCTGGCCGATCCTTCGCGGAGCTCGCGGGTCGAACGGGTCGACCGACCGACGGGTCGAACGCTCGACGGGTCGAACGATCGACGCGTCGAGCACGATCGACGGGCCGACGTGCCGCCGGGTCGAGCGTTCGACGGGCCGAGCGATCGACGCGTCGAACACGATCGCGATCGACGAGCCGACGCGTCGGCGACGAGCGGCGGGCGGCCGATCGATCTCCGTAGGGCTCCTTGCCGCCGTCGAGGGGCGGCCTGGGCTCTCGCCGCCGAGGTCGTGGACGAGCGCGGCAACCCCAGCGTGGCGGTGTTCGACTGGCCCTTCTCGCACGAGGCCTGCGATGTTCCAGCCTACTTTGATGTCGGGCGGGTCCCCCTACAGGGGGGCGTTCGACGAAAAATAAAAAATACCCCACAAATGCCCGAGGAAGGTCAAAAATAATCCAAAAATAGTCCCCAGACTATATTAGGACTATTTGTTTCATTATTGATGGGGTATTTCTTATTTTTCCTGGAAAATCCCCCCGTAGGGGGACAGGCCCGACTTAAACATACTTTAGCCGTGAGCACCCGAAAGACTCTCGAGCACCACAAAAAAAGCACCGAAGCTCGAGGGTGTTCACGCGTCGGGCCATGGGGGGCACTCGTCCGGCACCGTTTCGACACTCTTTCGACACTTTTCCGGGTGCTCGAGATGATTTCTGGGATTATTTCGCACGAGGCGTCAGATACATTGTTTTGTCTCCGGGTCAAGTGCGTGCGGTGGCTGCGACGCACGCCGCGCGAGGCGGCTCACGGGCAAAGATGCTTACGGTTCGGGTGCACGCCGCGTCGATGCTCCCCTTCACCGTGCACTGCTAACTGCGACTCCGGCTGCCAGATGCCTGCTCTGCAGACCTGGCGTGCCACCCGCAGGCGCGCCAGTGCTGGGAGGGAGGGGGAGGCACGAGAGGAGGGGGGCCTCAAAGGGGCACGCCTCGGCTCCCCACCACCCCTTGGAGCGCCAACAAGGAGGGGCCTGACGTCCCACTCCGCCCAGGAGCACCGCGGACTCGACGTCAGGGGGACCGATCTAGCACGAGGCGTCGGGAGTGCGGGGGGAGGTCACGTCGCATCTTCGGGGGGGGTTCGCCTGTCCCCCCAAACTGGTGTCTCCTCTTGGTGCCTTCCCTGTCTTCCTCGACGGGTCCGACACGGATCCGACTCGGGTTCGACACGGATGGGGCCGCGGGTTGGGACAGGCCAGGCCCCCCGAGGAGGCAATCCAAGGGAGGCATGAGGGGGCGGGGGGGGGGCGGTCCGGAATTTACGCAGGGGGGAGGGAGGGGACTCAAGGGGGACGCCTCGGCTCCCCATCGCCCATTTGATCGCCAGCAACGGGGGCTTGACAGCCCACTCCGCCCAGGAGCATGCGGACTCGATGTTGGGGGCCCATCGCCGATCGATCGGCGACTAATCGCAGATTCCAGCTCGAAGTTTCTGCACCCCTGGGCAAGTTCTCCCCGCATGTTCACCCTCAGTTGGGATGAGGAGGGGGGAGGAGAAGGACGCAAGAGGAAAATAAGAAGGAGGAGGAGGAGGAGGAGGAGGGGGGTGCGGAAGAAGGAAGGAGGAGGGGAAAAAGGACGAAGCAGGGAGGGGGGAGCGATGAGGAGGGATGATGCAGGACAAGAAGGGGAAAGGGAGGGAGGGAGCAGCAGGAGGGAGGAAGCATGACAGCAATAATAGTCATATTATGAAGGATCTTGGAGAGAGGGGAACCAGAAGGAGGGGGGATGGTGGAGAAGGATGACGAGGATCAGCGGGGGGAGGAGACGCCATAGGTTCAAGGTGAACAGGTTGCGCATGAGGAGTTCAAGTCTATCTCGCCCTCCCTGGGCTCTCCTACTCCTCCTGCCTCTGCTGCTGATCCTCCTCCTCCGCCTCCTCCTCCTCAGTCTTCTCCCTCCTCATCCTCATCCTCATCCTCCTCTCCATCCTGCCCATCTTCCTGGACATCTCCTACCTCATCCTCCTCCTCCTCTGTTCCTCCTCCCCCCCGCCCGCAGTACACGGAACCTTTGTCTGTCCGCTCATAACACGATGAGGTCGTTTGGGGGATCTCTGCTCTCAGGGACACGCCGGTCGGCGGATGCAAAAGAGTTCTTCAGCGCCACGGGAGGGGATGGGGAGGATGGGGCAGGATGTTAGATGCAGCGACGACGGCGCGCCTACTGTGGAGGCCCGACCGCAAGAGACCTTCCACGAGGCACCCAACCCTGAGACCCCAGGACGTCCGTGGATCTCTGGCGTGGGAGCGTCGCGCCCTCCACCGCAAGACCATCGAAGCCCAAGAAACCCAGGGCACCCTGGAGGCAAGCACCGTTGCTCGACTCTTATTTCTCCCACTCCCTCCACCGCTTGAGCTCGACCCCCCCCCCGTCCTCGCTCGAGCTCCCCCCCCCTCGATTCTTGGGCCCCCCCCCCGCGCTGGAGCGTTCACTGAATTACGTGGATAATTCGCCGGATCCCCCCCCCGCCCAGAGCGAAGCTTGAGCGAGCTCAAGCCCACGCTCTCAGAAACTCACACGCCGGATCGGCGGATTCCTCCTACCCCCTCCACCTCTTCCTCCTCGCCCCACGGATGGCCTTCGGCTCTCCCGGCCGGGGCCGCGGCTCTGCTTAAGCGGCCTCCCCTCTCGCCCGGCTCGTGCTGCGCACGGCGCGCGCGCGAGCCCACCGGGCCAGCGCATCGAGCAATAGGGGGCCACATGCGAACCCTCCCCCTACCCCCTACGATTGCTGAGGGGACAGGGTGGGGTTCACTTCGCTTGGGAGCTCCCAAGGGAAGTGAACCCCACCCTCCCCCTCAGCAATCGTAGGGGGTAGGGGGAGGGTTCGCATGTGGCCCCCTAGAGCAAGAAGCCCGCCTCAGCTGGCCGCCCCGACCTTCGACGCGGCGGCGACCCACCCGCCCGCCGGGAGCACGCAGGTGTCGCTGGCGGAGAACATTGCCTCGGCCTCGGGGGGGGGGCGCCCCCTCGCGGGCGTGGCGGTGGCGACAAGACGCCCCCGGCGGCGGGCCCTCGATCGGGGCGGCGCTCGAGGGGGGTCGGTGAGCGGGGGCAGGGAGCATCGGGCCGGACGAAAGGGTAGGATGGGGCAAGGGGGGGGATAAAACAGGGCTAGGATCGGGATAAATCGCTCCAGAGCGTTCCGGAGCGCTCTCAGAGCGTTCCAGAACGCTCTGGAGCGGCCGCGGCGCCCGATACATCCTCCAAACCCGAAGATTCTCAGAGATTTCGAGTTATCCCGATCCGATGTTGTCCCGATCTTCGCGTCGTTTTAGGGGATGCATATGCAGCTGTTTCCCCCCCCCCCCCCCCCCGCCAGGCCCCCATCCCTCCATGCACGGGGCCCCTCCCGGCGCCGGGAGGCGCCAGGGCAACCGGCTACGTGAGCTGATTCTCTATCCTGCCCCTGCGATCCTGCCCTTTCGTGCCTCCCGCGAGCAGGGATCGGGGAGAGAACGGGGAGGGCCGTCGAGGGCCGAGGTTCGGTCAGCGTCTCTCTGAACAGGGGATGCTGCAGTGGGGCCCTCCCCCCCCCAAGAGTTGCATGCACCCCCGCTTGACCTGTCAGATCTGGCTTTTCCGTGCGAGCGCGTCTTTCTATGCGTGTGTGTTTGTGCCTTGCGCTCCAGCAGCCGGACGGGGCCAGGGTCAAGTCGGGCATGTCCCTCCACAGGAGGAGAATTCAAAATAATTAGTCCAACAATAGTATCGATACTATTTGTTTAAAACCTGTTGGGGGACTTATTTTCGTTTGACTTTCTTATTTTCCTCTAAACTCCACCTGTAGGGTGACACGCCCGACCGAAGGCCAGGACGAGGAGCAATCCGCTCTAGAGCGTTCCGGCACGCTCTCAGACAGGTGCAGGCAGGTCGACGACGCACGGGCCCAGACCCAGACCCCCCCCATCCTCCTGGTTGACTCAAGAGGCGAAAAGGGGGTGGTGCAATAGATTTGGTGCAGCAGATTTGTGGGATTGCAATCGGTTTGGGGTGTGCAATACATTCCGGTGCGCAAATGTCTTGTTTGGTTCTCACTTGCAACACATGAGTTGCAGCACAATGCAATACGATTCTCTGGCGCAGTACATTTGCACTACAGTCGCCCCACATCTATTGCACCACCCCCTTTCAGCTGGACCCCCTTTTGGGTCACGAGGACTCCCCCACCCTTCGGCCAAGTGTCGAAACCCAGAGTAAGAAAACGCCTACGCCCGGAACTTCAGAGCATTCGGATTGTCAGATTCCCGGCCAGTTCGGCGAAGACGGCGTGTTCGCCGAACTGCTGCCCTCGCCCAATCGCGCCATCCTGACGCCCCGCTGCCGCTGCTGCTCTCGTGCGACTGGGCAAGGGGAACATGCCCGGCGCCCGTTCGGGAACGCCGCTTCCAGGCGAAGTCTGCGCGACGCCTTGGCGAGGGTAAGGCACGGTATCGCGCGCGGTCCGCCCCGAGCGACTCGGCGAGTGAAACGTGTGCGCCTCGCCGCGGAAGCGGGAGCGCCACGTTCAGAGCAAGATCTGCGAGGTGCCGCGACGAGAGCGAGCGACACGTTCGTCGTCGGTCGGCAGCGACCCCGCTGTGGACGAGCGGGTGAGCGATAGATGTGCGCCGCGCCCACGCGGGAATCCAATTTGCAGGAAACGAGCGCGACGCCAAGGCGAGAGCGTCATGTCGCGCCTTCTCGCGGGCTTCGCGCCCCATCCGAGTTCTGCCACGCGTGTTGCATCGTCGGCGGCAAGCTGTCCCATGCTCAAAGGAGAAGCTTGGCCTTTGCATCTTTCCAGGGGTATGGTGTGAGGCCCGAGATGGGTTCTCTACTGGCTTGTTGTGGAGCTGTACTGTGGGCTGGAGTGGAGTCCGCAGCAGGAGCTGCAGGGGAGGACGAGGAGGAGGAGGAGGAGGAGGAGGAGGAGGAGGAGGAGGAGGAGGAGAAGGAGGAGGAGGAGGAGGAGGAGGAGGAAAACGGAGCACAACTCGCCCCCCCCGCCCCCCCCCTTCCCCGCCTTCCCCGGCAGAGCCACCCCGCCCCCCCCCCCAGCAGAGCTGAAGCTCAGGCTGTGGGCTGTAGGCTGCTATAGCTTGGGCTTTTTCAAACCTACACGCCGGATCGGCGGATTTATGTCATGTTTCGGTTCCCTGACCCTCGAGAATACATTTAAATCTGAAGACGCGAGGGCTTCTGAGAAGTCCCGCCGCCTTCCGAGAAGGCCTGCTCCTCACTTCCCCCCTCGCTCGCCGTGAAGCAGGGGCTGGATTTGGGAAGCATGCCTCGCGCCCGTTTGGCAATGCCACATCCAGGCGAAACCAGCGCGAGGCCTCGGCGAGGATAAAGTCACCCTATCGCGTGCGGGCCGCTCCAAACAACGTGACGAGCGACCAGTATGCGCCGTACAGTGTGTGGGTGTGGGTGTGCGTGTATCGGCCCTCCTCTCCTCGCGCGCATTGCGGCCCCATTTGCATGTATCGCGCCCCACTGATGCCCGATCGCCAGAGCAGCATCCTCTGCCCAGCCGCCGACGCGAAAAGTGGGTGTAATGGAGGATGACGATCAGTAAATGACCAGGGGTCGTGTTCACGCGGCGGCGCCAGGGATGACGATTAGAAAAACCCGGCCGCGGGTTGGATTTTTTTGTTTTTAAAAAAAAATCGTTCTTCTCCAGTCAGAAAACTGTGCAGAAATAGCAGAAAACTATTGTTTAGTCGTTCTCTCCCGTTTTTAATTAATCTTCATCCCGCATTATCGGCAGGGGGGCTGAGCGCGGATGTATCGGCAGGAGGGCGCCCGCCGCTGTTGCTGCAGCGCGGGTTCCGCGAGTGGGCCCTCCGCGTGCGCTGCCGGGCCCTCGCGGACGCGCCGCGCCCGCGGGGCGGTCGCCAGGGACTGCTCTCGGTCGTGACGGCCCCAGCTCCCGCCGCTGCCCCTCCGCGACTCGGGGGCCTGCCTCCCTCCTGCTCCTCCTCCTCCTCCTCCTGCTCCTCCTCCTCCTCCTCCTCCACCTCCTCTTCCTCCTGCTCCTCCTCCTCCTCCTCCTCCTTCTCCTCGTCCTCCTCCTCGTCCTCCTCCTCCTCCTCCTCCTACTCCTCCTCCTCCTCCTCCTCCTCCTCTTCTCCCCCTCTATCCATGCTCCCTCCTGTCGCCATCCCCCCCCTCCTCGCTTCCTACCTTGATTACCTCCTCCCCTCCTCGCCCTCTTCGCCCGCCCCTGGCGGCCCTCTGTCGGGGTGGCCCACCAGCCCTCCTCCCCTCGTCCGCCAACCCTCAAGCCGTCGTGCCCAGGATGTCGCGGGACAGTGCCGCGGCCGCCGCCATGGCGGGGCGGGGCGCCCGCCGGCGCCGCAGGGCGGTGCTGGTGCTCGGAGGCCATGTGCCGTGCAGGAAGGGAGGAGGAAGAGGAGGAGGAGGAGGAGGAGGAGGAGGAGGAGGAGGAGGAGGGGGAAAGGGAGGGGGAGGAGAGGGGCAGTGTGTTTCGGGATCCCATCGTGGCCCTCAAGCCCCGGTTCCCCGTCTAATGGGTCGAGTCGGTGCTCGGGTGGCTGTCGTATAACTCAGGCAGCTCCCTTGGAACCCAGCGTTGGCGCGACTTCTTATGTTTCCTGTGTGTTTGCGCCGCCAGCGACGCGGTTGCAACGCCAGCGCTGGCGTTCAAGGTTGAGCACCCTTCGGGGGGGCCTGTCTTCGGAGGTTGCCAGGAGCATTCCTGGCCCAGCATGCTCCCAGCTTTTCGCGCCACTCTCGACAATCTGGGGCCCTCAGGGCCTCGTGGGAGATGCTCTGGAGGCCATCGGGGCCTCCGTGACAATGCTGGGGCTACCAGGGTGCCAGTGCCACATTAAGAAGCACCAGCTGACGCAGCAAGGCCTTGCCTTCTGAGGATCGATGGGGTCGACTGCCGGCCCTCGAGCGGGGGCCTGCGGGGCGTGGCGGGTGCCTGCGGAGAGACGATGTCGGCCAAGAGTGAGGGGGAAGCGAGGGGACTCCCGGCCCCTCGATTCCTCAGCAGATCTATTTTGTGTAGAGCCCTCGCAGGTTCACCCAACGAGGAGGGGAGGCTCACTGGCTCGCCGTCACGAGGCAGCACGACGGAGCAAGGCAAGGAGCACACGGACCACTCCGGGTTCCGGGAGGGGCGCTGGCTCTCGGCCCGCGACTCCTCGCAGCGCGTCGTGGCCTCTGGCCTGCTCCCGCTGCCCGGGCCCCGCGACCGCGGCCGGGAGTGGGCACGCCCCGCTCGTGTCCGTGCCGTTCCTGGTGGGCCAATGTTCCACCACCGCTACCACAGGCAGGACGGGGAAGAAGGGAGGATTGGGAGGTCCTCCTCCTCCTCCTCCTCCTCCTCCTCCTCAGTCTCCTCCTCCTCTTCAGTCTCCTCCTCCTCCTCCTCCTCCTCAGTCTCCTCCTTCTCCTCCTCCTTCTCCTCCTCCTCCTCCTGCCTATGGCAGAGGTGGTGGGACATCGGCCCATCATCTCCACTCCGGCCTGGGTCGGGGGCCGCGGCTCGCAGGCCTGCACCCGCACATCGCACGCGGGCCGTGTTTCCTCCTCCTCCTCCTCCTCCTCCTGCTCCTCCTCCTCCTCCTCCTCCTGCTCCTGTCTATGGTAGAGGTGGTGGGACATCGGCCCATCACTTGCCTGTGTCGGGGGCCGCGGCTCGCAGGCCCGGGCTCGCACAGCGCACGCGGCGGGCCGTTCCTTGCCTTCTCTTTCGGCCGTGGAGCCTCTGCGTGCGCGTGGCCGGGGATCGGCCTGGCCAGAGAGAGCCCCGCGTGCGCTCCGGAGCCGTCGGTCGCCTTTGTACAGCCAGAGCGAGGCAGACAGATCGAGGTTGGCTCGGGGAGGACAAGGAGGAGGAGGAGGAGGAGGAGGAGGAGCAGGAGGAGGAGGAGGAGGAGGAGCAGGAGGAGGAGGAGGAGGAGCAGGAGGAGGAGGAGGCTGAGGAGGAGGAGGAGGAGGAGGAGGAGGAGGAAGAGTAGGAAGAGGTTGAGGAGGAGGAGGAGGAGGAGGAGGAGGGGCTCTGGTTTTAGGGTCGTGCCGTAGATCTGGGTCCGGAAGCCCCTTCGTGGCCGGGGTTCGGCGGGCCCTGGTGTTCTTCGTGTAGTTGCGAGACGCTTCGGCAGCGAATGCTTCCGCGTCGGAGTGTCCTCCGCGGCCGCCTCTCCCCCCTCCTTTTCCTCCTCCTCCTCGTCCTCCTCCTCGCCATCCTCCCTCCTCCTCCTCCTCCTCCTCCTCCTTCCTCCTCCTCCTCCTCCTCCTCTTCCTCCTCCTCCTCCTTCCCTCCTCCTCCTCCTCCTCCTCCTCCTCCTCGTCCTCCTCCTCCTCCCAACCTTCCTCCATAATTAGATGTCTGTATTTATGTTGTTGTGTTTCCCCTCTTGCCCGCCGGCCAATTCGCGTATCGGTCGCTCCGGATCGTCGCTCGCTGGCGCAGTGATTACTTGCCTCGCCGCCCACGAACAGAAAGTGTTTGCTGGACGTTCTTGTGCATCCTGGGGAGGGTTACCCTTGGATGTTCTGTCGGGTCTGGCCGACGGAGTGCATCACATGCTTGTGATTGTTTTGGCCGGCGGAGGGTCTCACGCTCTTAGGGGGTGCTCTTCAGATCTGGGTCCGGCTGCAAGGTTAGCGCGATGCCTGTACATTGCCGTTTTTTTAACATGTTCCGCGTGCGGATCATGTATTAAAATGCAGGGCCCTAGCGTTAAAAACAACGATGAGTTCATGCATACATTCATCCATGCATTAACCACGTATAAAAATCTTATATTAAACAATCCGATGTATTAAAAACTGCCCTGCACTCCGAACGGCATGGGTTTCTCGGTGCCTCCGCCTCCCGCGCGAGAGCTCCCCCTCGGCGGTCATCTCGGGCCCCATCCAGCCGGGCCCCACGCGCCGTCACGCTGGCATCTCCAAATCTATCCTTATGTCGGGCGTGTCCCCCATACAGGGAGATTTTCGACGACAAATAAAAAATATAAAATTATCCTGGCGAAGGACCCGACCATCTGCAGTTGTGGGTACCGCAATTGAAAATCTTCTTCGGTGAAACTCCCTCCCTACGGGGCCACGAAGCGCTGCACTGGGTGGGGGGGAACGCTGTTTTGGGTGAGTGGTGTGTCAAATAAGGTTTCGGGACGCATGCGGATGGTCCCACTGGGGGCTTCGATGGAGTTCCCTATGGGGCCACGAAACGCTGTACTGGGTGGGTGAACATGCCAAACTGGGCTTCCGGGACGCATGCGGACGGTCCCACTGGAGGCTTCGGTGGAACTCCCTATGGGGTCACGAAGCGCTGTACTGGGTGGGTGAAAATGCCAAAGTGGGCGTCCCGGACGCATGCGGACGGTCCCACTGGGGGCTTCGGTGGAGCTCACTAAGGTGGCACAAAACGCTGTATTGGGTGGGTAAAAATGCCATTTTGGGTTTTCGGGACGCATGCGGACGGTGGCACTGGGGCCTTCGGTGGAGCTCCCTATGGGGCCACGAAATTTTGGATTGGGTGGGTGAAAATGCCACGATTGGTGTTTCGGGACGCTTGCGGACGGTCCCACTGGGGCCTTCGGTGGAGCTCCCTGTGGGGCCACGAAACGCTGCACTGGGTGGGTGAACATGCTACATTGGGTGTGCGGGACGCATGCGGACGGTCGCACTGGGGCCTTCGGTGGAGCTCCCTGTGGGGCCACGAATCGTTGTAATGGGTGTGTGAGAATGCCATCTTGGGTGTTTCAGGATGCATTCGGACGGTCCCACTGGGGTTTCGGTGAAGCTCTCTATGTTGCCACGAAGCGCTGTACTGAGTGGGGGGACGCATGTGGACGGTAGCACTGTGACCTTCGGTGCGGCTCCCTATGGGACCACGAAATGCTGTACTGAGTGGGGGGGACGTATGTGGACGGTGGCACTGGGGCCTTCGGTGGAGCTCCTTATGGGGCCACGAAGCGCTGTACTGAGTGGGGGGGACGCATGTGGACGGTGGCACTGGGGCCTTCGGTGGCGCTCCCTATGGGGCCACGAAACGCTGTACTGAGTGGGGGAACGCATGTGGACGGTGGCACTGGGGCCTTCGGTGGAGCTCCCTATGGGGCCACGAAGCGCTGTACTGAGTGGAGGGAACGCATGTGGACGGTGGCACTGGGGCCTTCGGTGGAGCTCCCTATGGGGCCACGAAACGCTGTACTGAGTGGGGGGGCGCATGTGGACGGTGGCACTGGGGCCTTCGGTGGAGCTCCCTATGGGGCCACGAAGCGCTGTACTGAGTGGGGGGGACGCATGTGGACGGTGGCATTGGGGCCTTCGGTGGAGCTCCCTATGGGGCCACGAAGCGCTGTACTGAGTGGGGGGGACGCATGTGGACGGTGGCACTGGGCCTTCAGTGGAGCTCCCTATGGGGTCACGAAATGCTGTACTGAATGGGGGGACGCATGTGGACGGTGGCACTGGGGCCTTCGGTGGAGCTCTCTATGGGGCCACGAAACGCTGCACTGAGCGGGGGGAAGCCATCTGGACAATGGCACTAGGACCTTCGGTGGAGCTCCATATGGGGCCACGAAGCGCTGTACTGAGTGCGGGGGACGCATGTGGACGGTGGCACTGGGGCCTTCGGTGGAGCTCCATATGTGGCCACGAAGCGCTGTACTGAGTGCAGGGGACGCATGTGGACGGTGGCACTGGGGCCTTCGGTGGAGCTCCCTATGGGGCCACGAAACGTTGTACCGAGTGGGGGGGACGCATGTGGACGGTGGCACTGGGGCCTTCGGTGGAGCTCCCTATGGGGCCACGAAGCGCTGTACTGAGTGGGGGGGTCGCATGTGGACGGTGGCACTGGGGCCTTCGATGGAGCTCCTCCCTGTGGGGCTACGAAGCGCTGTACTGGGTGGGTGAAACGCAGGGAAGAGGGGCAGGAGGGAGGAGGAGGGAGGAGGAGAGTAGAGGAGGAGGAGGAGGAGGAGGAGGAGGAGGAGGAGGAGGAGGAGGAGGAGGAGGAGGAGGAGGTGGAGGAGGAGGAGGAGGAGGAGGAGGAGGAGGAGGAGGAGGAGGAACGCGGGGACCGTCTCTTCAAAACGAGGACCCAACAGCACAGGTTGGTTGGGAAGTATTGCGCCAAAAAGGTAAAAAAAAAGCATCAAAAACATAGTCCCCAGACTATGTGTGGACTATTTTTTATTATTTTTGAGTTTTTTTGTTCCGTCGAATCCCCCTGTATGGGGGACACGCCCGACTTAAATCTATCCCTGGCCTGGCGGGGCCCGCATCTCTTGAGGGACAGACAGGCACCGACACAAGCAAGCGCCGATTCCCATGAGAAAATGAAGAAATATGGGAAGTGGAGGGGAAGACGGGATCACCAAAGTTCTGGAAACTCTGTCCCGTGTATACTTATGTGTGTCTCCCTGGGCCTGTCTCTTCGTCATCCTGATCGCATCCTTTCGCTGGCGCTGAATCGTGGGCCCACCCTGTGACCCAGAGTGCGCAGGCGAGTGAGTTGCTCGGGGGCCGATGTTTCACGGAAACAGCTTGTTGCAGTCTGGCAGGGGGTTTATGGCGCGTTGCCATCGTTCATCTGGCCCAGCGTTTCTGTGCTTGGGGCATCTCGCCGAGCACGCCGACCAAACATTGCAGACGTTCCAAAGATCGCTCCGTGCCGGGCCAGTTTTCTCGGCCTGGCGCTCGCCCAGTCTTTCCCTCCGTCTCGCCCATCGCTGACGTTCACCAAGCTGTCTGGCCATGCGCATTCCGGTGGAGAGGAGGAGGAGGAGGAGGAGGAGGATCAACGGCACCGTAACGGGTACTTACTAACGGGTACTTTGCATTTTTGCCGAAGGTTGCCACTTTAGGGCCTCTTTCTGGCAATGCAGCGTTGCCCGCATCGGGAAGGGTTGGGTTCGCTGGGTCACTGGCCAAAGTACCCGTTAGTGGATTCCCCGTTTGTGGGGCGTTGAGAGGAAATAGAGGAGGAGGAGGAGGAGGAGGAGGAGGAGGAGGAGGAGGAGGAGGAGGAGGAGGAGGAGGAGGAGGAGGAAAAAGAGGCGGAGGAGGAGGAGGAGTCGCCATGAAGGAAAGGGGTCTTTAGGGAGCTGGGTCCAAGACCGCGGGGCGTTCCCGAGGACCAGCTTCTCATCGGGAGTCGTCTTTTTTATGGTCCTGGAGCCCGTGCAGGGCCTGGGGGGCTTGAAAACTGCAGAACAAGCGTGACCCGTTTCAATCCTGCCAGCTGGGGCAGGGCCCCTGCCGGCTCGCCCCGATGCCGACATTTGGTGGGCTCCACGCGGTCCGTGGAATCCGATCTTCTGGTCTCCGATGCGGCCCCATGCTGGCACAGCGCCGATGCAGGCAGAGCCGGCGCACAGCCCAGTCCGAGCCGATATCCCCCGATGCGAGGGCGGCCGGGCCCGGCGGGGATGGCTCGGGCCGGGGCGTGCGAGGCGGGCCTGTAGGCTCGGCAAGGGCCCCGGGGTGCGCGCGGACAGGGCCCCCCAGCCAGTCCCGGCTGGCCTTTAGCAGCACTCCCGAGTGTCCTCCTCCTCCTCTTTTCCTCCTCCTTTTTTCCTCCTCCTCTTTTCCTCCTCCTCTTTTCCTCCTCCTCCTCTTTTCCTCCTCCTCCTCCTCCTCCTCCTCCTCCTCCTCTTTTCCTCCTCCTCTTTTCCTCCTCCTCTTTTCCTCCTCTTCCTCCTCTTTTCCTCCTCCTCCTCCTCCTCCTCTTTTCCTCCTCCTCCTCCTCCTCTTGTCCTCCTCCTCCTCCTCTCCTCTCCTCCGCCTGGCTCGGGCCGTCGCCACAGCCCCGGCCCCGAGGCGCGGAGCGCCGCCGGAGGCGGCGCTCCGAGGGTGTTTCTCGAGGCCGCCCCGGGCTGGCCTCGGGAGGCCAGCCGGGGCCGGCGGCTGGGGTCGCGACGTTCCGAGCTGCTGCAGCCGGGTACAGCCAGGGCCCCAGTTGAGGGCCGTTCTGGTGGCGCTTGCGCGGTCGGGAGGAGGAGGAGGAGGAGGAGGAGGAGGAGGAGGAGGAGGAGGAGGAGGAGGGGAGGGAGAACATACGACGTGGCGGAGAGGACATCTTAGGGCCTCTTGGGAGCCTTTTGGTTTCCTCTTGGGGCTTGCGGGCCGTCTTATGGAGCTTGTGACCCGCCTGACATCTTCGGAGGCCTTCATTGAGGCCCCTCTGGGCCGTTTTGGTGGCGCTTGCAGCGCTCAGATGCCGTGTCGGGGCCTTCTCGGGAGTCTTTCGGCCGATCCGCGGGTCCTCTCAGGCCGACTGTGGGCCCCTTTGGGGGGCCCTCTGTGCTATCTTGGAGCTGTCTTTGGAGGCCTCTTGGACCACTTTCGGCGGTCGGAGACCTGCACATGCGAAGACCTCACCGTCATTGGAATGTCTTGGGGTACTGGATGGTTCTTGCCCCCTCGGGCTCTCCTTCAGGTCATCCTGTATCGGGTATAGCCAGGACCCCAGTTGAGGGGACCCCGTTAGTGGTAGGGTCCTGGAGCCCTCGAATCGGCCAGAAGCACTAGACCAGGTCTGCCGTAGCTGGTGTTCTTTCGGGGGGGCGGCAGTTCCGGTCAGTGGAACGGGGCGGGGGGGGCGTCCCCCAGTACACATCCTTAAACCAGGTTCCACTAAACCCAGTTCTGCCAACGCCCGATGTAGCCTGGATCGCCAGAAAGAATTTCGAGCACCAGAACAGTACCGAAACACGAGGGCTTTCACGTGCCGGGCCCTGGGAGACATTCGTCCGACACTGTTTTTCGGCGCTGTTCCGACACTCTTTCGGCACTTGTCTGGGTGCTCGGCATTAGTTCTGGGATGTGGTTCTTAAGTACGATGGGAGCTACATAAGGCTGGGGCTGCATGGCGTGAGAGGGCTGCCTGTGCACACCCCGAAGCCCAGCCACCCTCGTTTCCTCGCCCTGTCCTCTGCGTTCCTTCGCGTGCGGGCGAGGTGTGTGTGTGTGTGTGTTCCATGCCCACGGCGTCGTGGACCTGCGGGCCCCCTGTCCCCAGAAACCAGAGGCGCAATGGCTATGGATCAGAGTCTGGCCACTGGGGCTAGATGTTCAGCCATGCGCACAGCGCCTCGGTCCTTTTTTGGCGCCTTCCCAGAAAGCCCAAGGCGCAGCGGGCGTGGAAATTACTCTTGCCAACATCGCGATGGTAAAATATTTAATGCTGCGCGCGATCCACGACGACGCCGACGCCGACGCCGACGCCGACGACGCCGACGCCGACGACGACGACGACGACGACGACGACGCCGTCGACGACGCCGCCGACGACGACGACCTCGGCGAGGACGACGACGACGACGACGACGACGACGACGGCGACGACGACGCCGACGACGACAGCGACGACGACGACCGCGACCTGGGCCCCAGGCTCCGCGCAGCTCGCGCTCGTGCTGCGGGGCGCCGCCCTCCCTGCCTGGGGGCGCTGCGCGGCCGCGGCCCACCGCTCCGCCGCCGTGGCCGCCGTGGCCGCGGCGCGGGCCGCCGCGGCGGGGCGGGCCGCCGAGGCGCCCGCGCCGGCCGGGGCGCTCTGCGCGGACGGCGTTCGGGGCTCAAGAGACGGGGGTCAATGCAAACGGGGGTCAGCCAGAGCACCGGATCCTGCAGGGTCCTGCGAAGACCCCCTCTGGCTGACCCGGGTCAGCGAGCCGCTCGTGGCCGCGAGGCGGCAGCGCATATTGGCTGGCCCGGGTTTGCGAAGACCTGCGTTGCAGTTTGTTCGTTCCTGCATTGCAGTTTTTTGGTTTCTTGCTGACCCGAGTCTGGATTGACCCGGGTCAGAAGATCCCCGAGGACGGCGTCGTCTGCGCAGCTCGGACGAGGGCAGGGCGGCACGAGCCCTCACGAGTTTCATGGCGCCAGCCTCGCGGAGCGGATGTCGTTCGGAAGCCGATATGGGATTGGCCCAGAGTGTCCTGGAGAATTGCGTTCCGGATTGCTTTGGGATTTGCGTTGGCAGGGAATGAAGACTAGAAGCACTCCACGCGAAATTCACTGTGTTTTGCCCGCCGTTGCAGGGTTTTGAATCGAAAATCCACGCGACACAAATCCGCTGCAGCACGTCTGCAAGATCGGTGCAGGGACAAGGTCAGAGGAGGAAAGGGCCTCAGTCTCTCGAGCCGGGCGCTTTCGCCGGGGTGCGAGCCTCCGGGCCATCAGAGGTCGGTCTGGCTCGACAAACGGCGCTGAAGAGTGGGGTCCAGCTCCTCCTCCTCCTCCTCCTCCTCCTCCTCCCTCCTCCTCCTCCTCCCTCCTCCTCCCTCCTCCTCCTCCTCCTCCTCCTCCTCCTCCTCCTCCTCCTCCTCCTCCTCCCTCCTCCTCCCTCCTCCTCGCTCCTCCTCCTCCGCCCTCCTCCTCCTCCTCATCCTCCTCCTCCTTCTCCTCGTCCCTGACCCTCCTGGGAGGCCCTCGTGGCCACCGCTGGATGCGCCTCGCAATCTTCGGGGGTGGACAGGACCCCTAACAGTGACCCATCGATTAGGAGGAGGAGGAGGAGGAGGAGGAGGAGGAGGAGGAGGTTCCCTAGGACCGGCGTGTCGTCCTGATTCGTCTTTGGACGGTCCCGAGGCACGGCGAGGGCCCTCGGATGACGAACGCAGCGAGAAAAACCTCCCGTCGTGACTTTGTGCACAGCGCGGGGGGGAACTGGGAAGCGCGCCTCCGGGGCCCAAACTGGAGTTGCCCCAGAAACCGCAGCGCTCCCGGAGAATCGGGGGTGGACAGGACCCCCAACAGCGACCCATCGATTAGTGAATTGGCCGTGTTCGGTTCTCGAGAGGGCGCCTCGGCCGTTAATTATTTTCCAGGCTTGCGTCCGCCACGTTTGGGCTTCAGGTCGTTTTCACCAAACCACGTGTTACTAAAGGGAGGTCTGTCCATCCCCGAAATCCTTGTCAGAACGCACCCTGGAAGAGGACCGGGGAGCACAGTCGACTAGTCTAGCAAGGAGGGGCGGCCTTCCCGAGGGTACCCTCGCATCCTTGCCTCCTCGGTCCAGCCCTGGACACCGTCGTGGGCCGCGGCCCGCTCGAAAAGAGCCTCGACATGGTCGTCCGAGGCCCCTGCACCCTTGTCGCGCATCCTTACTATACCGGTTGACCGTAGAGTGCCGTTTTTCATACATGCTCCGCGTGCGGGATCATGTATTGAAAACGCAGGGATCTAGTATTAGACACAACGATGAGTTCATACATAAGTTCATCCATACATTAATCGTGTACTAAAATCCGGTATTTCTTAAAATAAAATGTATTAACAGCCCTGTAGAGGCATCGGCACCTTCTGTGGCTTCCCCACGAGCGGCAAGCACGCCTGCATCCGCAGGAAGAGGAGGAGCATGAAGAGGAGGAGGAAGGAGGAGGAGCAGGAGGAGGAGCAGGAAGAGGAGGAGGAAGGAGGAGGAGCAGGAGGAGGAGGAGGAGGAAGGAGGAGGAGGAGGAGGAAGGAGGGAGGAGGAGGAGGAGGAGGAGGAAGCAGGAGGACAGCCGGGTATAGCCAGGACCCCAGCTAAGGGTCGTTGTGGTGGCGCTTGTGAGGTAGGGAGGAGGAGGAGGGGGAGGAAGCAGGAGGAGGAGGAGGAGGAGGAGGAGGAGGAGGAGGAGGAGTCTGTGTCCGCGCCCTCGCGGTCCGGGCTCCGGAACCCGCGAGCCCCCGCGGGTGCGCGGTCGCACGGACAATGACGCTCCGCGCGTGCTTTCCGCGCAAACAAGCAGCCTCTGTCGGCGGGGTCGCGGCCCACGGGCCTCCGCGCGAAAAAGCAGCCTCTGTCCGCGGGGTCGCGGCCCACGGGGCCCGGACCACGTGGCCGCGGCTGCGGCTATGTGTTTCGCTTATGTCGGGCGTGTCCCCCTACAGGGGGACCTTCGACGAAAAATCAAACAGACCCCCAAGAATACCCCAAAAAGGTCAGCAATGCTCAGAAAATAGTCCCCAGATTATTTTTTGATTTATTTTTGGGGTATGTTTTATTTTTCATCGAAAATCCCCTGTAGGGGGACAAGCCCGACTCAATGTTTCGCCCGCGAAGCCTGAACGCTCGACTCCTGAGCTTTCGGCGCGGGCAAGGTATAGCAGAGTGAGGGGGCCGAGCGGTCCTTCATGGTCCCTGGGTGCGTGACTGAAGCTGCGTTGGTTTCTGGGAAGAGAACCCGAAATTCCAAGACGCAGTGGATATGGATACAAGCATTGCCCGCACTTGGTGGCGCAATATGGACCACGCCAGGCGATGTCGCGTTCTTTCGGGCCGCGTGGCCCTTCAGATCGGTCCGGCGTGAAGAAACGTGCGGCAGCAAGATGGGGCCCGCAGGCCTTGTTTTGCACGGTGCCGATTGTTCGTGACGCTGGCTCTCAGAGGCGGTCCGCGCGGATTTCTTGGCTCTGCGCTGGGCCCCGTGGGCGCCGCCTCTTCTTCCTCATCCACCGCTTCACCCTCCTCCGCCTCCGTCTCCGCCACCTCCTCCTCCTCCTCCCCCTCAACCTCCTCCTCATCGTCATCATCCTCAGATTCCTCCTCCTCCTCCTCCGCCTCCGCCTCCTCCTCCTCCTCCGCCTCCTCCTCATCATCCTCATCCTCCTCCTCATTCCCCGGGGGCTCCGGCGCCGTCCCAGGAAGTCCACGCGGACCGTCGAACGCGTGTGCTTGTGCCGTGCGTGTCGTTCTTCCAACATCGTCGCCACAGCACGGCTGGGGCGTGTTCGCCGCGAGGGCCTTCGGGGCGGGCGACGTCGTCCACCAGGCCCTCGGCCGGCTGGCGGAGGGGCGCGGCGGGCGCATCGGGGACGCGGACGTCTTCCCGGCCTGCGAGGTCAGCGGCGTCGGGAGGGAGGCGCTCTGCGTACCAAACCACCCCAACCCAACCCGAAGGTTCCCGACCCCCTCAGATGTCGGGTGGGGGGGGGGTACAGGCTCCGAGTTGTGCTCTCGATGGTACGGAGTGGCCGGAAATTCACTGAGGAGGAGGAGGAGGAGGGGGAGGAGGGGGAGGAGGAGGAGGAGGAGGGAGGAGGAGGAGGGAGGAGGATGAGGGAGGAGGAGGAGGAGGAGGGAGGCTTGGTGGGTGTCGTCAGAGGCCAACGCCTCCGTCGTCGGGCTCGGCTTCTCGAGCCTGCACAACCGCGACGAGGACCCGAACGTGGACTTCTGCTGGGAGCGGCTGGCGCAGGATCCAGCCACGCGCAGAAGGGGGCTGGGGGGAGGGGGGAGGGCTTCTTAGAAGCATCCCTGCTTCTTAGACGGCGCGGGCCTTCTCTATAGATGTAAGGCCGGCGCCCTCTAAGAAGCAGCCTGCCTCTGAGAGGCCCTCCCCCCTCCCCGCACCCCCTCGTGCGCGCCGCCAAAGGATCCCTCCTGCCTGCTGGGCACCTTCGCCGCGAGGCGGGCCGTGCGCGAGGGCGAGGAGCTGCTCCTGCCCCGCGGCCGCGGCGGGGCCGCGGGGGGCTCCCCGGCCCCGCGGCTGCCCCGGTCGTTCGGCGCCCCCGCCGAGGGCCAGAGCCGCAGGAGGGCGAAGAGAGACGGCTCGGTTGTTTTTTTTTGTTGTTCTATTTGATTGTAATATATATAAATATTTATATATACACACATATATATACATATACATATAAAAATATAAATACATAAGTATAAATATGAGCCAATTATTGGTTAATATATCCTCTGGTGTAGTCCTTGGCGGCGTCCGCCGGGCTCGGGGGCCCTGAGACGGGAAGTGGAGGCAAACGGGGGTTGGCCAGGGCGCCAGAGCTGACAGGCTCCTGCAGAGTTCGAGGCCTCCCAGACGGGGTCCGAGCAGATGGCTTGGGGGGATCGCGCCGCATCGTCGATGCATCCGCGATCGATGTGGAATGTGGAGCCCGATTCTCTCCACGCTGGCGTCGCCGATGCAGCGCCGATGTCGCCTGCGCATCGGCGGTGTATCGCCGATGCATCGGCGATGCGGCGCGATCCTCCAACCCCATCTACTCCGCCCCCATCTGGGAGGCCTCTCAGAGCCAGGGCCGCATTGATTCGGGCAAGCGTGCTGGATTCCGAAGGGCCCTGCAGGGTCTCGCAGGATGCTGCACAGCCCGACGGACCCAGGTTTGCATATGGACCCCGGTCTGTACCTCCCCGAGCAACGGGGCAGTTGGTCTTCGGCGGCCCCCCGGTCGCCCCCGCGGGCCGCAGCTCGGCAATCCTGTGCGCTTGGGCCCTGGGAGGATTGCAGCGACCGATTTGAGCTGCCGCTGTCTTTTGGACGCCCGGAATGGGTGCGAAACAAAAGCGCACAGTGCCCAGCAACAGACGCTGTCCAAAACTGACAGCGTCCGGCGTTGGCCAGGCAGCCTTCCGGCTCAAGCGGACAACGCCCGCGGCGACGCCGGCAGCGAGTCCTGCTCAACATGAACAGGAACTGCAGTCGGCCATGCCCTTCTTTTCCGTACCCACTACGTTCGTGCCAAGTCTCGACTCGCCCTGCTCCGACGGAAGACGAGGTTCGTGCAGCCGCCGTCGCACACGCTGGCCTCCTCGGGCCTCTTCTGCGCGCCCTCGGCGGTGCATGGCTGGGGGGTTTTCGCTGGGCGAGACTTCGCGCACGGGGAGACGATCCACGAGTCTCCGGGCAGGCCGTCCCAAGAGCACGGAGGAGGAGGAGCAGGAGGAGGAGAAGGAGGAGAAGCAAGAGGAAGAGGAAGAGGGAGGAGGAGGAGGAGGAGGAGGAGGAGGAGGAGGAGGAGGAGGAATAGGAGGAGGAGGACGAGGCGATTCAGGCAATTCGATGGGTGGCCAGGGTAGGGTTCGCATGTCATCAAACGCTCTTAGCGGAATCCGGAACCGACCCCTTCCTCAACATCGACTCCGGAGAAACAGTGGTTGGCGGGGGTTGGGTTCGGACGTCTGCAGCTGGTCAGGTTCCACATCCATCTCTTAAGGTCAGGATCCACCGTTAGCCTGAAGGTACTTGAGGTCAGGATGAAGAAGAGGGGTCGAGGGCGAGCGGGGTGAATGCGTTCAAGGTTTTCAGACGCCTGGGCCCGTGGCCGGGGCCTGTCAGGAACGACGCAGGGAAAACAGCTATAGTCCAACGGCAAGCCCCAAAAAGCCCCTGGCCCTTCTCGCCCGTGCCAGCCAGGGGCGCAGGGCGCAGGC